GCCAATCCAGCGTCTTTCGATCCGGATAATATAGTGTTAGATTGTATTACTATTATTATCGTTAACCTACAATTGTATTTACATTTAATCTTGCACCTTGTATAAAATATCGTAATAAGTTTCGATAGTTCTAGTTCTGCGAACTAGAACTATGTGGAATTAGGTCAGAGAGGGAATATCACTAGTATTGTTAACCCACATAATATCGACTCTTGCACCTTGCGTAAAATATCGTCTTGGTCGTATAAGTATCGATGGACTAAACGAGAGATCGGAGCGAGGGAGACAGAGTCACTTCCTGGCTGAACGAAATTGAGAGAAGTACTAACATTTGACCTGCGGAACAAATCAAAGAATTAAATAAACATCCGTGGATATTCTGCGACAATAGGAAATTGAAAACCACCATAACGTTAACATAGAGGGAAAAGTGTCTGAAAGCGATCAGATGGACGATTTAAAAGAAGAAGAAGACTTGCTCGACGCAGCAATTAGGGTGGCTGAGAAGAAGAAGAAACTAGCTGCTCTAATGACAATGGATAATAATGTGACGGACGATATCCGAATGGTTAAGCAGCTTGTTGTCCCATTTTCCGCCAGTGAAAATGATGAAGGCTCCAAATGGATCTTGGATTTTGATCGGATGTGCAGAGGCGTGAACGAAAGCAACCATTTTCGACTTCGCTGTGTGCGAATGTTGATGAAAGCGGGAACCGAGGCGGACTTGTTCATGCGTGTCGACAAATCGAAGACTTACGATGAGTTTAAAGAAAACTTCCTGAAAACTTTTGGTCGCAGTAATTCAACTGCTGATGTGGTACTGCTCTTGAAGGAAACCACTTTCAATCCAGGGAAGAACTCCGTAATGGGATACATTCTTCTGATGGAAGAAATTGCTATGCATGCCGACATCGAAGAAAAATTAACGGTTCAGTTTATCATTGATGGTTTTCGCGATCGTTCTACCAGTATCGCCTTATTGTATTCAGCGACGACCATTGGAAAACTTAAGGAGCTGGCCCGTCAATACGAGGCTTTAAGGAAGAGTACCCAGACGACTTTCAAGCGCTCTGAGATGAGTGCATCAGGACCTGACCAGAACCAGGTGCGCTGCTATAATTGTTCAGCGCATGGACATTACGCTTCATCGTGTCCCGCACCTCTGCGGGAGAAGGGATCGTGCTTCCAGTGTGGGTCCATGCAGCACAAGGTGAAGGATTGCCAACAGAAGCCTGTGCCAACTCAACGATCCGTGAATACAGGGGTATAGGGGTATATTTGTACACTGATATAAAACGCAGGTATCATATTAAATTTCTATCTGCCATGTTGGACACCGGTAGCGCTATTAATTTGATGCAGCGTGCGGCGATGCCTTATGTAAATTTTGATGATGTACTAAGACCAACTGAGTATTGTGGAGTAAATGGTTCAAGAATAAGCACTTTTGGAAAAATAGTTGTTAAAGTAAATTTTCATAACATAGAGAAAGAACTCATATTTTACGTTGTACCCAATAATTATGTATCTAGTAATGTCCTTCTGGGGCGTAGTTTCCTTGAACATTATGGAATAAAATTGATTTTTGAAAATACAATTGAAAATTTAAAACGAGTAATGCAAGTCAGTATGGAAAATAGAATATTAGTGAACAGTGACAGTGACTTAATAGGAAATAGAATATTAGTGAACAGTGACAGTGACTTAATAGGAAATAGAATATTAGTGAACAGTGACAGGGACTTAATAGAAAACAGAACTGTAGAAATTAGTGACAGTGACTTAATTGAAACGAGAAGGAACGTGTGAGTCGCTTCTGGAGACGCGACTCTACTTATACCCGTACTCAGTCAGTATATACATTTTTGAGCTTATGATTTTTTAGAATTTAAAAATTAAAAAAAAAATTTTACATTTTACATTTTTTTGCTACAGTGTTATCTACATCTACATCTACAATGTATATTCCACATCTAACATGTAGATTGTACATGTACCATTTATATTCTACATCTCCTCCGCTAGGGGTTGCTCGCGCACTGAACGCGGCAGAGTGTGCGAGCGAGAAAGAGAATCAGTAGCGTCAGCAGCGGTGGCGAAGGAGAGGGAACCAACAGAAAATTAATTTCTTCATTCTGGCTATAATTATGATCCGATCTAGTTCAGATTCGGTAATCTGGTAGATATGGGCATTCTCTACGATACTGTGTTTTTAGTTTTATCGTATCTTTAAAAATGTGCCTGCCACAGATTTTCGTCCTTTGTGGGGGCGGAAGGGGGCGGGGCGAAATTTTGAAATACACTTGTAGCAGTGTGATATCACATGAGTCTGGAAACCAAATTTGGTTTCTCTAGCTCTTATAGTCTTTTCAGATCTAGGCGCTCATCAAGACGGACAGACGGACAGACGGACGGACGGACGGACAGACGGACATGGCTATATCGACTCGGCTATTGATGCTGATCAAGAATATATATACTTTTTGGGGTCGGAAACGTTTCCTTCTCTGCGTTGCACACATCCACTTTTACCACAAATCTAATATACCCCTTAACTCTTTTTTGAGTACGGGTATAAAAAGAGTATTAGTAAACATTGACAGTGAAATTGAAAATAAAATATTGTTAAACATTGACGGCGACCCAATTGAAAACATAGTATTGACAAATATAAATAATGAGTTGAGATTATTAGATAGCAATAACAATAATTTAGTGAAGGATGGAAATGATGATAAGATTAGTGACCAGTTAAATTTAAAAAGTAGTGACTATTTTTTAAAAGATAATGAGCATATGGCAAAGGAAACATTAGGAATATCTGACATAGATATACCATATATATATAGTATTGATATAACAAATGAAGATGACTGCTTTAATATAGACCCGAGGCGGAGTGATGAAGAACGTAGTAAATTCATTGAAGTGATCAAATTTAACTATTCAGATTTAAGTAATATCCCAGCAATTCAGCATAATTATGAAATGAATCTAAAACTGAAGACAGAAGAACCTGTACGCTCCGTTCCAAGAAGACTTTCATACCAAGAGAAAAAAGAAGTAGATGCCCAAGTAGATGAATTATTGAAAAGAGGCTTTCTAAGAGAAAGTAACTCGCCCTATACTTCTGCAATAGTATTAGTTAAGAAAAAATCAGGAGAAAAAAGAATGTGTGTAGATTACAGGCAGCTTAATAAGATATGCATTCGTGATGGATATCCCGTTGCCTCTAATAGATGACTGTTTAGAGAGATTGGAAGGGAATACAATTTTTACAATTTTAGATTTGAAACACGGATATCACCAGGTAAAAGTATCAGAGAATTCGGTGCAGTATACAAGTTTTGTCATACCTAGTGGTCAGTATGAATATACAAGAATGCCCTTCGGACTTATGAATTCACCAGCTGTATTTATGAGATTTATTAATTTTATCTTGCAACCATTAATTCGCGAAGGTAATGTAGTAGTTTATATGGACGATATTGCTATAGGTTCCAAAACGTTAAATGATCACCTCATAACAGTAGGTAGAGTATTAAGAATTCTCGCTGAATATCGATTAGAAATTAAGATCAGTAAATGTCAATTTGGTTATGAAAGTATCGAATTCTTAGGATATACACTTAGTGGAAAAGGAATAAGCCCAAACTGCGAGCACACAGCAACAATTAAGAATCTTCCGTTGCCAAAGGATCGCCATGAAATGCAAAAGTGTTTAGGATTATTCTCCTATTTTAGGCGTTTTATTCCGGCGTACTCAAAAATAGCAAAACCATTACAGGAACTTACGAAACCAGGGGCTAAGTTTGAACTTCAAGACAAGTGCATACAAATTTTTGAATATCTGCGAGAGAAACTAATTTCGTTCCCAGTATTGGCTCTTTATAATCCAAATCGAGAAACAGAGCTGCATTGTGATGCAAGTAGTGAAGGTTTTGGTGGAATTTTGTTGCAGAAAAGTAGCTATTATATAGGCACTCAACTATAGGACAGTGTTGGGAATACAATACAGAGAAGGAATTTAAACAGAATAGTAAAAAAAGGTTTAAGGTCAACGAGATCCTTTTACAGGTAAATGCTTTGGAAAAAAACTACCTCTAAACTATCACATCAGATATAGTTCAAGGAGATGAAAAACCTGTTTGACAGTGTTTTCGAAGAGCCTGAGTGAGAGGAAGGATCAAAGGGTAGAACTCGTTTAGAGAGAGAGAGAGGGAGAATGTAAGGATTGATTTTGATTTGTCACAATTTTCAGGTAAAAAAAAATCGATATTGATTTTACAGAATTTCCAGAGGAGAAAATAACTTAGTTCACATTTTCACCGATAGGTGGCGCCACCAAGTAGTAATGAAAAGGGACCTTCTACGTGTTGCGAGTAAATCCTAAATTCGCAACATGTTGCTTAAGGATGTGAAACATGATATTTGATTCAACAACCCTATTCTCAGCAACATGTGGTTTTCAAATAAATGGTTTCAGTTCAGTTTCATGTTCAAATAAATTTTTTTTCATATTGTTTTGGGAAAATAAATGGTTTCAGTTTCTGATATTTACCATGATCATGTTGAAATAAAATAATTTATAAAAATATATATGGTTTTAGTTTCTGATATTTACCATAATCATATCCTTTAAGAGTAGAGTTACCTATATTTATATCTAGGATGTGCAATCAATGAATAAAAGTATAAGATGAATGCAAAGAGAACTTATTATAGTAAATATACGAAGAAGGTCCCTTTTCATTACTACTTGGTGGCGCCACCTATCGGTGAAAATGTGAACTAAGTTCTTTTCTCCTCTGGAAATTCTGTAAAATCAATATCGATTTTTTTTTACCTGAAAATTCACTATCGGTGAAAATGTGAACTAAGTTCTTTTCTCCTCTGGAAATTCTGTAAAATCAATATCGATTTTTTTTTTACCTGAAAATTGTGACAAATCAAAATCAATCCTTACATTCTCCCTCTCTCTCTCTCTAAACGAGTTCTACCCTTTGATCCTTCCTCTCACTCAGGCTCTTCGAAAACACTGTCAAACAGGTTTTTCATCTCCTTGAACTATATCTGATGTGATAGTTTAGAGGTAGTTTTTTTCCAAAGCATTTACCTGTAAAAGGATCTCGTTGACCTTAAACCTTTTTTTACTATTCTGTTTAAATTCCCAACACTGTCCTATAGTTGAGTGCCTATATAATAGCTACTCACAGCTATAAGCTATTACAGAAACTAGTAAACTGTATACAAAGATGGATAACCTAGAGGTCATTTTTATTGAGTCGCAACCGGAGGAAACCATAAATCTGGATTCTCAGCCAGACTCCGTGGACCTGTCACTGATTTTTGAAATTAAAACCCAAAATTATCTCGAGAGGAATTGGGATCCTATTAATGAGATTAAATGGGATGATGATAGTGAGGATGATGACCTCATGATATCATCACAATACATTTTTGAGGAATATGTCGGTGAGGACTCCATGACTGAAACGCCATTCGTTTTGCCGGATGATGATCATATTTTCGATTTGGTCGATGATCAAGACTGCGGCGAAAGGGATCGACTCAGGGATCTACTTCGGGATGAAGATGACGCTGAGTTAATAGCGGCGTTGGAAAGAACTGAGGCTGGATTTAAATAAGGCGAGAAAGCATATGTATAATAAAAATATTCGATGTATTTTTCTAATCATAATATTATATACATACATACATAGGTATAATAAATAGAATACTACATTTAAGAAATTTATTTTCAATGTTTCCTTACTTCTGATTGGGTGAATTTCACTTCCTACTATTACATGTTACATCCCCCAGAGAATCATAGGATTCGTTTGAAACAGGTTTTCCAAGCGAGGATTACACAAAAGAATAAGTGCATTTCAGGTATAGGTACCTGGTATTGAATGTATTTATTGGTTGAATTTCACATCCTATTATTACATAGTCAGCAGAAGAAATCGTTTTGAAACCGGTTTTAAACGAGTACTGAACCTGTTGAATACAAAAGACTGAGTAGGCGTTAGGCAGATAAATAGAACTCTTTTTATGAAAAACTCTTAGTTCTCTTCTAATAGTGAAAGTGATCAAACAAAATATAAAAATTTCAAAATGAATCCCGAAATCGCGTGCACTATGTGTTCAGAGTTTGTTAAATTAACAGAGTTCGCCTCTCACTACGACAGTTGCGTAGGACTGCGGATTCCGATTGAGTGCAATCTATGCTATAAATCCTTAGAGGGAACAGAGATCGACTCTCATTATGAGAGTTGCTTAGGTCCCCAGAAAAAAGTTGAGTGCGATCTATGTTTGAATTTCCTCGACTAGCAGAGCTAGACTCTCATTATGAGGTATGTTCTGCTCAAAGAAATGCTTTCAACGTGCTAATGAGGAAATCTTCTTCGACAACTGACCTCCGAGAACAGTCAACTTCAAGATCTTCAAAACGGCCTAGAATGAATGCACCAGCGGAAAACATTGACTGTGCAATATGCGGTGAGAGTTACACTCCCTCGAAGGAAAAGCGCCATATTATGTCTGAAAAGCATAAGAATGCCGCTGCAGACCAAATACATAACAATCCTAATATTATCAACCTGGCATCAAACTCGAAATTTCCCATAAAATCATATCGGGTTCAATCCAGTAAAAGTAATCGGATTGACTTAAAAGATTTTTATAATGATTGTAAAAATGATATAATCAATTTACTTAATTGTTGTTTGAGCGAGTACAGAGCCGTAAAGTTCAATTTAAAAGTATATGGTCTGTATGTCAAGCAAACTGATGATGAAACCTTGACAGAAACAATGAAGCATTTCATAACTTCATACAAACCCATATATGAGCAAGAGTTCATTGATGAACACTTAAATAACGCTCTGGAAAACCTTATAACTTTAAGCAGCGAATTCCAGGAGAAGGATTCAGGTTGGGCTATAAAAAATTTTAAATATTTTGAGTTAACAATAATTAAACTGGAACACATCCCTGCAAGGGGGTATATAGAAGCTCCTAAAAAAATAAAATCACGAAATGCTATCATCAATGTTAAAAATGTAGATGATTTTTGTTTCAAGTGGTGTATTTTAGCATCATTAGCATATAAAAGACATGCAGAAACTACATTTACAAGATCAGTTGAAAAAAGGTTGGCTCGAGACAAATTAGCAATCCCATCAAGCTATCGCATTTTAAACATAAACCAGGAAATAATTCATTATAACGGTTTTAGACTCGATTTTTCTGAGATTGAGTTTCCAATAACAAGCAAAGGAATAAAGCGATTCGAAAAAGCCAATGAGGATTTCAGCATCAATATATATGAAATTGATGATAATGGTAAAAACGTTGTGGGACCCACAGTGAGGACTAATAAAATTCGTCCTAATCATATAAACTTGCTAGGCATCAATAGTGATATGCAAATGATGCATTATGCCTATATAACGTGCATGAAGAAGTTATGCTATTCCCAACATAGTAAATCTCATAGTGCAGCATATTTTTGCGATAACTGTTTGCAATTTTATAGTACTACAAATACTATTCACGACACTAAGGAGTGTGGAAAAGTTGCGGCTCTATATCCAGAACCCAATACTAAAACCATATTTAAAAGTTGGTCGAAAAAACTTTCACCCCCAGTCGTAATTTATGCTGACATCGAGGCTGTTTTGGAAAATTTCCATAGAAATCTTAATGATCCCTCCAAATCATCGACTACTATGGCGCAGAGGCATACAGCATGTGCAGTTTCATTTTATGTTGCACATAAATACAATCCTCATCTAAATGAGATGTGGACATATGAAGGTAAATATTATAAAATAAATAAATAAATATAAATAAACTCTAAGCATTACGACTTCGTTATTTCAGGACCTGATTGTATTGAAAAATTCTGTCAAGTGCTTAGGGCTAAAACTGATGGCCTTTATGAGAAGTACTGGAAATCTAGTAAAAAGCCCATATATGAATTCAATATTTGGGATGAAGACTGTCAGGAACACGAAGCGTGCTGTGCCTGCGATGAGCAAATTTTGGTTGATGATCGTGAAAAATACTTCAATCAATTCACGGGCCAATATGTAGGGCCTATTCATAAGGTCTGTAAACAAACATTTAGATTAAGCGATCCCTTTTTCCCTGTAGTGTGTCACAACTTGTCTCGATATGACATCCACTTATTTGTAACATCGATAAGAGATGAATTGAAACCCATTCCTTGCAATAAAGAGTTATATATTGCGTTAACTCAAACTTGCAAGCTTGATTCACATCTTCATCAATATAAAATAAGATACATAGATTCAAATAGATTTTTAAATTCGAGCTTAGAAAAACTTGCTAGCTATATGGATGTATCCAATTTCAAAATATTGAACAGCAAATATCAAAACGAAAAATTTGACATGCTACGAAGAAAAGGAGTATTTCCCTATGACTATTTAGATAGTTTTCAAAAATTTGAGGAATCCCAGCTCCCTTCAAGGGAATATTTTTATAATTCTCTGAATGATGAGGAATGTAGCGTGGAAGATTATAACTTTGCTCAGAGCGTGTGGAGAATGTTTAACTGTACTAGTATTAGAGATTACTTAAAATTATACTTGGAAAGCGATGTTCTAATTCTTGCCGATGTATTCGAAAATTTTAGAACTCTTTGTTCACGAGTATACAGACTAGATCCCATTAATTATGTTACTGCTCCTTCAGTTTCATGGGATGCAATGCTTAAATACACAAAGATAGAATTGGAACTTATAAGTGATCCTGATATTTATAACTTTTTAAAAACTGCAGTCCGGGGAGGGTTGACTCAATGTACCCAAAGGATCGCTACAGCAAATAACAAATACTTAAATGACAAATTCAAGTCTAGCGATCCTATAAACTACCTGACATATATTGACGCCAACAATTTATATGGATGGGCTATGAGTCAACCACTTCCATATTCCAATTTTAAATTTCTAAGTAATAATGAAATTTTATCTTTCAACGCTCTTAATATATCAGCCAGAGGTAATATAGGATACATATTAGAAGTAGATCTGAAATATCCTAAAAATGTTCATAATAAACATAATAGTTTACCATTCTGCCCCGAAAATAAAATTCCGCCAGGAGGAAAGCAGCCCAAATTAATAGCTGATTTATCAGATAAAAAGAATTATATAATACATTTAAAACAGCTGCAGTTATGTATAGAGCAAGGTATGATTGTAGAAAAAATATCTCGAATACTATCTTTTAAACAGTCCTGTTGGTTAAAGCCTTATATTGACCTAAATACAACACTAAGAAAATTAGCTGTAAATGAGTTTGAGATAAACTTTTTTAAATTAATGGTCAATGCCGTATACGGCAAAACGATGGAAAATGTAGAAAAGCGTCGTGAGGTTGCATTAGTCAAAAATTATGAATCCAGACAGAATTCCGCAGGGTTTAGACAACGCATAGCTAGACATAATTTTCACAGTGTTGAAGTCTTTGGAGATAATTTAGCTGCAATTGAATCAACTAAATCAAAAATTTATTATGATAAACCCATATACATTGGAGTTAGTGTATTAGAACTTTCAAAATGGTTAATGTACGACTATTTCTATAATTTCCATTCTGTAAAATGTCCATCATCAAAAATACTTTATATGGATACAGATTCATTTATTATATCATCAGAAGAAGATTTTTATGAACTAATTAAAGACAATCCTAGTCGCTTTGACACATCAAACTATCAAACCTCAAACAGATTCGGTATACATCGTGCTAATAACAAGGAACTAGGTTTAATGAAAGACGAAAATGCAGGTCGGATAATGACCTCTTTTGCAGGATTAAAAGCAAAAGCATACTCATATTTAGTTGCAAAAGATGATAGCTCTGACTTTGATAACGTAAAAAAGGTTAAAGGAGTCAAAAAGTCAGTAGTGAAAAGATTATCGCATGATCATTATATTGAATGCATTAAACATAAAAAAACTTATTATGGTCAGCAGAGAGTTATTCGAAGTAGAGGTCATAAAATATATACTGAAATTGTAAATAAGATAAGTCTTAATTATAAGGATGACAAGAGATTTATATTGCCTGATAATATTTCAACATTAGCTCATAATCACTTTGAAATTCAAAATATTTTATATTCTAGTAATGATACACAAAATATTGTATAAGTAATCTGAATTGAATATATTTAGATTTAGTATAAAAATATGATAAGTAATTGTATATTTTGTATATATTTTGTATAACTTTTAATGAAAAATGTATGTATATAAAAAATAAAAAAAACAACATCAAAAATTGTTTGATGTTTAATTATTTTAATAAATTCTTTTTATCTATCCATGAATTGTGTGTTTCATCAAACCCTAACCATTTAACAAAAACTTTATCATGTTTTCTTCGGATTATTTTTTCAACTAAGAAAGCATTTTCATCTTTCACTTTTTGGAGTTCTTGATCATAAAAGGAGCCTTTGATCATTTCCCCCTTATAGTCCTCCAGTTCATATGTTACAGGATTGGTAGACTTGACTTTTAAAATTTTAAAAACTTCGGTTGTCCAGTTTGGTTCATATCCCTTCGTAAAAATACCTTTATATTTACTTATTCTAACAGGATCACCAATGGAAAACTTATTTTTGGGGAATACCTTGCAAATATTATAAACTGTTTTTAAAATAAACTCTTCATTTTGCTTGTCTAC